CTTGGACTGTACTTCCAAATGCTCCATTTTATCCATTATGGCTATTAAACTCTCACAAGTTTTGTAGACATCATCCCTTGTTTCCTTGGTTTGTATTTTCTGTTCACCCATGGCTGCTTTAATCACATCCACATCTCGCTGGGTAAACTGCAAACTCGTTTTTATCTCCTGTATTTCTCTGGTCATGTCGTCGAGTCTCTTGTTATTTGTCTCCATAAGTAGTTACACAAAACTTTTGAAGTTGTCTTGTTGTTGGCTCAACAGTGCGGTGTACATCTGCTTCTGCTGACTCAACATCTCTGTTACTTGCGCCGCTGAAATATAATCCTCTTCTGCTTAAACATCCTCATTCGCTTCTGATTTATTAGCTCTTTTCCCTCTTGGATGCATTTTAATTGTTGTAGAATTTGTTCAAAGACTTGAAAATGTAGAAGATGTGAAAAATCGTAGAACAGACAGGAGCAGTAAACGTCTGCTCTCCTTTGCAACCCGGAAAAAAAAACATTTAATTCAATAAACTAAATGCAGAGATAAAGAGAAACCATAGATATGTAATATTGCTGCCTAACTGTATTATAGTTACCATACTGCTTGCTGATTTTGTTTTCAAGAATAAGAGGTGGGATTCTTCTATTTATTTAACCAGTAAAGGAAGCTATTGCATCATTTAACCATATGTTTCACGACATATGGAAAGAGCCATGGTGGATCATAAAATGTGCTGTTCTGTTGCTGTTCTTGCACATAGTTAGGGACATGATCAATCTCAGTGGGCCTGGGTATCACATGCATGTAATGAACCTGCACACAGAGATTTATGACCATCTTACCTACAAACATTACTCCTTCTTTAGTCTTTTCAGCCGCAAATTCAACTCCTTCCTTGGTCTTCTCTGCAGCCACAGCCATCCCCTCTCTTGCTTTAGACAAACCCTTCATAAACACATCCATCTTGGCCAAGCAACTGTGGAGAGATGAACCGTGGAGCTGTCAGTCACCATCACTGCTGCATTAACATTTTTTGTAATATGCATTAATGACATTCAATGCCACATATTGTTAATTATTTCTACAAAGCTCTCTGGATCAGTCTAACATAAAACCATCGCGTTGTGGTAAAAGAAGGCAGCACAGCCTCCGGTGCTAGATCCTGACAGATGCAGCCCAGACATCAGGCTGTAGTAAAAACCTACTGTTCACTCATGCATTCATCCCCGTTTTTACATCCTCGGCTATGCATGAAACATTTAAAGGCAAAAATATCTAAACGAAATGATTAACTGTGGAGGCGCTCATGGATTATCGCTCGCCTGTAATACAGTAGTAGCGAGAAGACAGGACTGCGAACGCGCAGGCCTTTAAAAGACTGTACAGAATATTACATTATTGCAGGAGCTACATGTCGTTGCTGGGGGAAGGGAAGCACGATGTAAACTATGATCCCGGTTTTTACACAGAATATAATCTGAGTTTGTACGATCACACAGAGGGAGACATTATGATTCAACAGATTAGGTTTGAGTCCAACAGCTCGAATTATATTCTTGCATTAGACATCAAACCTTCAGAGTCCCATCCTGGATGTTGCAGGCCAAGCCTCTCATTACTACATGCACCAATTCACGATGTCGACCATTCCTCACGTTTGCATCCGCGCCTGACTGAATGTCTTTGCTTTTGCATTATCTTCCATACACAATTAATTACAAACCGAGACGAAAATAAATACCGTATAAAGCTTAGTTATTTTTTTTACACACAGTGCAAACCAGTGCCTTCCAAAGAATACGCTCACACGCATGCTATTCAGATGGTAGTGACCTCTATATGCTTAAAAAGAACAATGTTAAAGGACTGCAAGAATGAAAATGAGCCCTTACCTATTTACAAACAGCCTTCGACTTCTCTTTATGAGTCAGTCACACAGTCGAGTTAAACTATCGTCTAAATGGGTGATATCTTCAAACGATCACTAGGTGGGCCTTCGGGGCTGATCTTCACCAACAGGGACGGCCCCCTTCACAGTGAGGCTGAGACTATCACGCACTCTCCCTCTCTCTCTCTTCCTCTCCTCCTGCGTTCATTGGCTCCCTCCACTATTGATCACCCGTACATGTCAAATGGTAAAACAAGGGACACGAGGTTAACACAGGCGTACTATGTTGATTATGTAATAGGAGTATAGGAATATTACACGATCACCATCAACATCCAATAAAGTAGACACAGCCCCGCTGTGAACTATCTCCCATTTATGAATTCTTATGAAATGACTTGATGCTGGATTTTAGTGTTTATTCCCGTGGACTCCATTTTGGATGTAACTTTGGTACATAAGCCCCATATTGTATTGCTGGTAAACCACCTTTCCTGTCTTTCATTAATGTAACCTACATAAGTATTGCATTTTTTTTAGTTTAACTACCTAAATCCACTTCTCCAGTTATGAACGTTTAAGACCAATTATCACTATCTTGTGAAGCGTGACAGTGCTGACATACTTAGAGCTGCATTGACCGATATTAGTACAATCTAAGGGTGATACCATTTTGTCTATGAGATGGGAGTGGGTTGATACAGGATAAGAAGGGAGTCTAGAAGGGGTATTTAATGTTAGTATATTATCCAAATATTGCACCTTAAAAAGTAATCAAGTGATTTGCGCCTAACTGAAATTCAGCGCTTCCAGGTCACGAGCTCGAACGTGCCATAACCAGTCTGGGCAGGAGGTGACTTCAGATCGAATCACAATTTCCTTCGAGTAAAACCCGAGAGGACAAAACCGAACACTAAACCGCGTTACTGCTGGTGCCCTTGGATACTCCACGTTTTCCCACCTTTCAGAGAGTTGATTTACAGCCGAGAGGGAGGGTTAAGTAACAACCCCCGCCCCTTTTTACCCCCTGTCTGACGTAGGTGCAATGATGACATCCTCGTAGTAGGCGAGGAATTGCGAAATCGTCCTTCCTCCCCTGATCCCCTGTCCATCTTGAGGAAATCCCAGATTGCTACAGTATATTTTCCGGAGCATGAGTACGCAGACTGTGGTGTGGATATAGTCATTACGTGTTGCCCTGCGAGGACGTTACGTACTAGTAAAGAATGACAGCATGAAGTGTTACATGCATCTTCTGTGCTACAGGTTCACCTTTCATGTGTTAGTTCCGAAAATAAACTGCAAAAGTTCCTTCCTATGGCTTTGTACGCCTGCATTGTTTAAACAATCTCCATGCACTTATTTATCACCCACCCCTCGATGACATACTACTTGGTTTAATCTGTGGGCCACCACAAAGTCATCGTCTCATCCGTGAACAGCGAGTGAAGCGTCACCTTCCACTGGGACCCGCTCAGGCGCTGTCCAGGGTGCTGAACTTCAGCGTGCCTCTGTCCATGGTGCTGACCTGATGCAGGCAGTATTGGGCAGGACAGCGTGCGAGATAAAAGGTGTAGAGTATCTCACATCAACACAGTCCAAGATAACTTTTCATACACTTAACCCAGTCGCCTTTTAAAACCTTCTGTGAGCCCCGGGGTACCACGGATTTATTCATCATCTTGATTTCCTCACTGACTACTTGTACGTGTAGTGCACATCTGCCCTCTTGTGGTTATTTGTGATGATAGCACGGCAGTCATTTTTCATTTACGTCATCCTTTGCTGAAGCTGCATATAAATATTAAACACTAGCGTTCTCTTATATTAACAAAGACACCGTATAATTTAGTTCCTAGCAAACATGTAGGTCACCATTTTATAATCCCCAGAGCATACATATATATGGTATCCCTCTGTCTCTCTTTTTATTTTTTAAAATGTCATTATTATTGCATATAATGTTACCTGCAGAACATGCTGGTTAATAGTTCATTGTTAGAAAAGGACAAAAAAGCCACTGAGTTTTTTTCATCTAAAATCAAAAGTAGGCAAAACTATTGGTGTCACTTATACACTACAGTTAAATTTGGTTCAGTCCAACTGCTGTGCCTGTCGCCTAATGCAGAGCTTTTTCACAATCACTTGACACAGCTGAGCCTCAGCCACAGCATGCAGTAGAACTGCAAATGTATCAAGTAGCAGGCTACTCTCATTAAAGAAAAGTACATAATGTCAGACCAAAAAGTTTTGTTTTGTTGCCAGGCACCTTCACGGGGTCTTAAAAGTTGCTGAATCTAGTGACTCATTTACTTAAATTTAAAGTAGGGGGTGGGGTTTCAAGTTATCCCAGCTGAGTCACACATGCTCCTTTAAATAATATGTGTCAGTCAGTCACTTAGTAAAAAAAAAAAAAAAATTCACTCTCCTACACTTGAAAAAATGACTCACTGAGCCAATTAGTCAGTTTCAATACACGTACAAGGTATTAGCTTCAGTCATCAACTCTTATGTCATACTTACATGCCAGATTTGGTTTCCTCTTACAGTAATTCTCCCCAGAAGGATTTTCAGGTTTAATTTATCACACTGCACAGTGTAGCTTTTGATGCGATGTGAACAGACTGATCTAAGAACATAGATTTCACATCTGTGGTCAAGATGACTAATGACTGTGGGAGTAGGTGCTGAAAAGGATTCTAAGATTTAAGACCGGTAACTCAGCTAGACATGCACAAATCTCCATCATATAGGTTCATTTACACTAGAAGTAGGATTCTAGAGTATGACTGTAACCCAAATAAAACATGCTGGGAAGTAAGTCACTGTGAACAAAAGAATTTGCAAAATGAATACAACCTCAGGTAAAACACACTAATAATAATCTAAATGATTATTCATTAAATCACAATCACTTTATTTCAACAGATTTTTTGACCCTCTACAGGATCATGGATAATGAATAATGGAGATGCTTACAGATATTTCCAAAAGCAATTAAAATTAATTTTAGCTTCACTGGTTAAAGTTTATGCAACTTCAAAAAAGGTCAGATTTATGGGCCTTACAGTAATCACATCACAGCTGGACTTGGTCCTAATTGCCCCCTTGGGCCGATCTGTTTTTTAACCTCCGATTTCTGCAGATATATGCTCAGTGGTCCACATCAGAAGACTGTGGTTGCACAGTGTGAATAAGCAGTAGGGAATATCTGAAGTAGACTGTGCAAGCTGCACAGGCTCAGCAGGCCAAAAATAAAGGCGAGCAACCACGGCTTTTATTCTAAGAAATAAATTGTGAAATAAAATGTTCCCTGTATGCAGCTCAAAAGTCACTACTGCAGTCAGGTTTCTCAGCCTGAGTTGGTAGTGATCTTTCAGCCCCCGGTGAACCAGACTTTATCGGTCATGGTTTCATGATGATCTGAGCTACTTTTCCTTTTGAAGAGCTGTTGTGTGGAGCCAGTCATTCATGGCCTGGTTTATATAATTTCAATCAATTTGAGCTATAAAATCCCGAAATAGACTGACGCTGCACTACAGCTGAAATTTACAACTATTTATATTGCAAGTCATTTCCCCTTTGGCATGTGCTTATACACTCCAACTGCCTTCTGCCACTGGTTGAAAATAAGACTGTAGTTTTGAAACACTTCAAATCTGAGCTTGACTCTGTCTTTCGAACAGTCATGAATGACTGGGTACATTTACAGAATCAGGCACCATTAATATTCATTTTGTCTGCTACATTTTGTTAGAATAAAAAGGGGGGTGGGGTGGAGTGTTTACTGCAGGTCTTTGAGTAGAAAACACCCCTGATGTTTTTAACAATGATGAATAAAAGAGGAAACTGAGGCTGCCCTTAACACCTCTGGGTGGCAGCAGAGACTGTTTATCTTCTTAAGGGGTGTGATTACAATTCACATCACTAACCAGGGTACATATCAGTCCTGCAAATGCATGAATCGATTCATTTAATGTACACTCGTAGTTGCACAGAATGAAATATATACTTGAATATGACACTCCAGGGCCCCTTGACTGTGTTATCAGAAATAGAGACTGCTGTCATCACCTTGGACAATTTTAGCTCTCTGCGCGTGTGTTCGACCAGCAAGTTAAGTGCCAAAATCCAAAATGGCTCAAGAAGAACTGCTGTCTCACTATCGAGGTGCTGACAGGAAAGCATTCATTACATTATATTAGTTTTTGTTTATTACACTGTCATAAGGAATGTTGCAGCACGGTGGCGTAGTGGTTAGCACCTTTGCCTCACAGCAAGAAGGCTCCGGGTTCGGGCCCCACCCGGGACCTTTCTGTGTGGAGACTGCATGTTCTTCCTGTGCTTGCGTGGGTTCTCTCCGGGTGCTCCGGCTTCCTCCCACAGTCCAAAGACATGCAGCTTAGGTTGATTGGTGTCTCTAAATTGCCCATAGGAGTGCGTGTGTGGTTGTTCGTCTATGTGTTAGCCCTGCGATGGATTCGCGACCTGTCCAGGGTGTACCCTGCCTTTGCCCGATTGCCGGCCGGGATTGGCTCCGGCCCCCCCCCTCCCGAACCTGTTCAGGGATTAAGTGGTAGAAGATGAATGAATGAATGAATGAATGTTGCTCTGACCTATCATATACCTCTTAGGAATACACCCACACATTTGATGATAATGTCTGTTAATTAATGTAACATTTTTTGTTAACATATTTGTTTTAGTGATCCTTTATCCACTATATACATTATGCACACTGTGGGCATGTCTAGTCAGGTGACTGAACTATCCACTGGGAATAATAATGGGTGTACTCAAATTAAAGCCATTATGTAAATTGTACATACAAAGTACTCAAAGCTATTCTCCATCTTCTTTATGCATGCAGGCTTAAGTCGTTGAATCTGTGTGAGAGTGCTTTCACCAATGATTGAATTCGATATACAGCACCTGAATGTAAGCCAAACTATACAGATTAACAATATGACATACTGGAAGCAATATTATAATTATGTTTTAGCAATTTGTTAAACTGTCTATAAGTTATGGTTTGTGTGTGCATGCGTGTGTGAAACTGCTCCTTACAGGAAAAGGTCGCCTATTTCACTTTTATTTGTCAATTTTTGGCAGTTATATAAACCAATCCCAGCTGGCTGGTTGCTTGCACAATTGCCTGT